TCTCATCTGATCCTCGAGATGGAGAAACACTGGAACACTACCATGAAACCCAATGGCCCCAAACGTTCATCAACCATGCCAAAAACTAGGGGGGAAGATCTTCAGGGAGGACAAAAACCAAAATTTTGCTCCAAGGGCTATCCTGAGACAGTGAGCGTGAGCTGCTGTCAAGAGGAGGATCTGGAAGTAAGACCAGCCTTACCTTGCCTCCCTTGCCCATTTGCTTTCTCTGTCTATACCTACTTGGCTCTTTCTAGACTTTTCTGCTTGCCTCAAACACAGCCATCTGCTCACTCCCTCTCACTCCCCTTGGGTTCTCAAACCCTCCCAAAGTGTCCCTTTTTGCTCCCACCCCACGCCTGTAAGCCACACCTGCACCGGTTCTCTCTCCTCAGGACCAGGTCAGGTTCTGAGCCTGATTCTGCTCCCAGTGAACTGATGTTTTCACAGGCCCCTCCAGAGATGGCACCTTTTGTTTCATAAACCAAACCTCATCCTTCTTTCCAAGAGCTGGGTGGTGATGTCCAGGGCTATTTCAGGTGAGTTCTTTGAAAACTGTGCCTAAGGAATCTTGGATCAGGTAGGACAGCAGAATCCATGTGCTCCCTCCCCCATTCTCTCTCTCTCTCTCTCTCTCTCTCTCTCTCTCTCTCTCTCTCTCTCCCCAGCACTTACAAATGAATGCAGAGCCACGCACATGCTAGGCAAGTCTACTACCAGTGGGCAGAATCCCAAGGCCCTAGTTTCGCTACACTAACTTTTATGGATTAAGTTAGCCATTAGTGTGAACTCAGGGATTCCTTAAAATAGAAGTGGTAGGTGCTTAGATTTTTCAGAGCCTTGGGTGTCTTGGCGCCCGAGTTGTTTCATCTTCATGTCTTAGGGAAGTCTTCTGTTCACAGAGGAGAGTCAAGGCTAGACCACAGTCCCGTCTTCCTACATCTCACATCCTCCCAACAGTGCCAACAGTGATGGACACAATTCCAGCATGTACCAACAGCTCTATGGTGTAATTGCCTGTTTGACAGAAGACTCCGGCAAAGAGACTCAGCAAAGTCCTAAACAGCCCCGGCTACATGAGGCCAAGAGCACTGGCAGCAAAAAGTCTTCAGCTCCGAAGAAAGGCTCTCTCCACAGCAGGAAAGAAAACACTGACCCCTGATGTTGTGCTCAAAAGGAAGCAGCAGAGCCAGAGTTTGTATTTTTCTCTCTCTCCTTCAATGTCAGGGACCCCCGCCACCGTCAAATTGAGGGAAACATTTCATGAGTCAGGGTGCCAGGGACTGAAGTGTCACAGGGTCTTCTTGGACACTTATATTCAGAAAATAAGTGTTAGAAATGCAAGGAGACCCTCAATAGACTTATGTGCATTCTTTGATTCTGGAAGAACTGGATAATCCAGAAATTCAGGGTCACCAGAGAAGAGTATTCCAAAAGCAAGACTTAGGTCCAGAAAATTCTAGCTCCATGGTAATCAAGAATTACAGCCCTCCAAGGAGTGCATATTCCGATTGGTGGCAGTGAACAGAGGCTTCTTTGATTGGCTGTTACCACGCCAGGTTCTGAGACTGTGCAGGCATACGGTACAACTATAGACCAAAGCAGGAACAATCCCCCACAGGCTGTTAGAAGCTGTGCTTCAGGGCTTGGGCTGACTTAACTATGTCCCAGTAGAGAGCAGTGTTGGGTGTGTCACTCCAAATTACAGAGAAGACCATAAACATGTTCTTAGAAAACAGAAGAGCTCATAATCAATAGTGTAGGAATGATTTGATGAGGAAGGTAATTTTAATACTTTCAAAATGTTCTTTCTGCCAGCAGCAGCGGCATCCACTATAAACTCAGCATTCAGGGCAACTGAGAAAGAAAGATGGAGAAGTTCTAAGGCCCTCGCCTGACGTCCATAGAGAGATCCTGGCTCACAAAACAAGAGCTGAGCAGGGCACATGACTTCAATCTCAGCACTCAGGAAGCAGAAGTGGATAAATTTCTGTGAGTTCAAAGCCAGTCTGGTCTACAAAGCAAGTTCCAGGACAGCCAGGGTTATATAGTGAGACCTTGGGGTTAAAAAATAAAGGAAAGGATAAAGCAAGAGAGTGTGGTAATGCCACTCCACCAAGTTAGACTAATTAAACCTTTAAATATTCAATAAGGACGAAGTATCTAGAGAAACAGGCGTGTGGAGCATTGGGCGGGGCAGCGGCAGAACCAGAATCAAAACTCTTTTTTTTTTTTTCTGGGTCATTTCAGGCCTGAAAAACAAGAACTTTCAGAGAAGTCATTTTTTGCTGAATTTCAGAAACTCCGCCTGATATGATTTGCTGTCCAGCAAGGAAGGATGAGTGTGGCTGTACATTCTGAGGCACGTACATGCTGGATGTCCCCTCCCTTGTGTCCCAAGAGGCTCTGAGCCACGGGACAGCCATCTGTCTGTGATGACGTAAAAGTTAGATTTCTGCATACAGGAAGAGAATAAGAGTTCCTTCGTATTTTTGCTGTTGGTTTGTCTTCGAGATAAAGTTTCACTGTGTACCCAGTTTGGCTCCAGGTTGGATCTGAACCCTTAGCAATCTCCTGCCTCAGCTCCCTGAGTCCTTGTATTACAGCTATGAACTACCATGCCCAACTTCCAAATTTAAGATTCTATGTAAGCAACGAAGAATAGGAAGGAATGGATCTAAGCCATCTTGTGCCTTTTTCCGTGGCCACATCCCAGGTGGCGGGGTGCGAGGGGTCTTCCAGTTTTGTGGAGTATACAAAACGTCAATTTTGCCTCCACAGAAATGTGACATGCGTGCCTTCCCCACAGTCCCAAAGCCACCTGGAAACAGCCAAGGGGCCCTGCATTCCCGCCAGCCTCCATGGAGTCCCTCCTCAGGGCTGGAGACTGGCCTAATCCTGTCTCCAAAGGAAAGCCAAGATGTTTGAAAAAGCCAACCAGCTTTCCTCAAGGTCTGGGGACAGACGTCTGTCATCTGGCAGGAAGGCTGCCCCTTACTACTGGCCATAACAATGGTCTTAGGACATGATCTGATCCAGCTGGACCTCGATGGCCTTCTGCCAGCTCCCAGGACAGTTTAGCAGTCTGGGACAATGTAAAATCTGGGGGCTCTCTGACAGTGGGACCAGACCGGATGTCCAGCAGCCCTGGACAGTGCTCTGCCTCCATGCTATTCTACACTCAGGGCGAAACTGGAGCCGCCTGAGGGTGGGAAGCCATGGGGGGTGCGGGGTGTAAATAGCCTCCTTTTCCAGAAAAGCTCAGAGCCCATTACTTGAAGGGAAAACAGCGGGAATTCAAGCAGCAATTAAAAAAAATTGTACTCCAACTGGACGGGGACGGTGGGAGGGGAGGACACACAAAGCATTATAGTCTCATCAAGGGACAATGGAATTTAAGACAGCTCCACAGGGCGTGCAATTGGTGGCAGTTTACCCCACCCCTGCTCTCTCTTCACTGAATTGTTTTAGGCTCCCTAGTTTCAACCAGATCAGAACTACACGCCATCGTGGGCAGTCTTCACAGGAAACTGTGGCTGTGGACTTCACGACGGCTCCCCTGGCTCACACCCATGCAGTCTGGAAGTAACAAACACTGGAAGCAAAAGCAGTGCCCCCAAGTCTTGAGAAGCGACCCAAGCACTCACCCACCACCCCCACCTCGGGTAGCTTTACAAAAACTTTTGACCACTCAATGCACAGACTGATTTCTTTTAAAATTTCCCTTCCAACCAGCTAGCTGCATTTCTGAAGAAAAAGGCGCTTCTCTTTATAGGCAAGCTGAATCCTGTCACTCTTATCGGGCTTGTTTACCAGAAGAAAAAAAAAACAAACGACACACATCTGTGTTGAAATGGACCACACCTCCACAGACATTCAACCAAAACGCTAATCTAATAAAAACAAAAGCAAACAACTGGGTGCCTTGGTTCGTTTTGCATTTTGCACGTGGGTTTGTAACTATACAATATATTGGGCAAAAGTAATAAGCTAAATAGCCCCGTACGACCACTGCCACGTTGGAAAATTACACGCCCACTCAGAAAATTCTTTAATCGTTCTGATAGATCTTTTGGGTTGGCTCTGAAATGTAGCTGGCTGGGGTAGAAGCACAAAGCTTTTCAGCCACTTTACAGGAATGCCAGAAGTCCCCCAGCCTCACCCTCTCCCGGCTGCCCCCCCCCCCCCCCCCCCCCCCCCCCCCCCCCCGCCCCACACCTCCACATCTGGCCAAGGATTCCGGAATCCACGCCAGTCTTCCCATCCCACCAAATCAACCCCTCCCAAGTTTGATTTGAAACACCCTCTGCCTCTATTTCCCTAACGGTTTTCCTTTAAACAAACCAATCCCCTCTTCCCATCCTGTTAGGGGGTGGGGAATGGGGAAAAGGAAGAAAGGAAATACTCAAACAGACACGAATAGACCAGAAGGGCTGGTGAAAGCAAGAGCAGAAACGGAAACCCAGATGTTTGTCTACCATCACCCCAAAAGCCAACAAACAATCCACAAAGCAAAGCAACCTTTCCTTTCGGAGATTATCTATTGCGTTTAACCTTCTTAAAGAAGGAAAAAGAGTCGAAAGTGTCCTCATAAGACACCGTCCTTGCTCAAAAGTGTCCTCATAAGACACCGTCCTTGCAAATTTCAGTTCAAAGCAATTTAGATCAAAATGGAAGATTTGAGAACATCTTTCGAGCTTGCTTTTCGTGCATTTCGACGGCACGTAGAGATTCCTCCATAAAGAACATTCCACTCAGGCTTGTTCCAAAGTCCCTGTCCCTTCCACATCCTCATCGCAAGAATACCGTGATTACAGCCGGAGCCAGCTGATGTCCCAGATTCCCCCACTACTTTGAGCTGAAAGTTTCAAGGTCTCTGTTCTCTGAGAGCCGGAGAAGGCTAACAGAGAAAATAAGAGACCAACGACTTCAAAGACCTTTAAAGGCAGAACGGAGGGAGCCTGGCCTGCACAGTTTCCCCGGCGTGGGACGGGTCCTACCTGGAGGATCCGGAGACTGAGGCAGATGCCCTGAGCGATGGAGCTGGCTGCTGGTCGGTCCGCTCTTCGGGAGGTATGCGGCCACAGTGAGGGGAGGGCCCTGCCTCCCGAGGTTATAAGTTTCCTGGGCTGGTGTGCTGGGGTGTGTGATGGGCGGTTTCTCTTCCCTGGGCTTTAAAGGAGTTTCTATGAATCAGTCTGGATTTTAAAAAAAAAAGAAAGAAAGAAAGAAAAAAAGTTGGTGAGTTACGCCCTGCTAAGTTGGCAGTCAGTCAGAAGTGGCTGGGAGTGAGCCATCAATTCAAAGAAGCCTGTTGTAGCTCCCTGTGAGTCAGACTCACAGACCACAGTGGAAAAAGGAGCGACATTGCTTCAGTGAGTAATAGGAGTCACACAAATAGATCTGTTTACCGAAGCCTGTTTCTGCTCCCCAGAAAGGAGATTCGGTTGCCACAGACAAATGGCAAAACACAGGTTAGGCTCAGGAGGAGAAGGGGGGCGGAGGATAGGGACAGTCTTGTGTTAAACCCCAGCTAATCATCAAACAGGATTCCCGTTCTTCCTCCCCGGCACCCGTGTCAGCGACTGCTCATCACCAGGAATTAGCACATGCATTTCTCATGGGCTTCCCTACCTGACCCTCCTGCCCTGACCTGGGGGAGGCAGTGGGATGAGGCCGGTGAAGCAGAAGAGCACCCCAGCAAGCTCTGAATGTGGGGGTACTGGGTCTTTAATTACGCTCTCTTGCCCTTGGAGATTGTACTCGCTGCTGGAGGAAGTCCTGGAATTAAGGACTTTGCACTCCAATCTCCGTGTGATAATCATTTGGACCTTGCTCCACAGGTGGCTTTTGTGAAGCCAGGGACCTGATCAACACAGGGTCCCTGCACTACTTTCCCCTTAATCTCAGAGTTGGGGGTGGGGTTACAGAGTCCTCTAATCCCACAGGTTCAGGTCCTGGGTGCTTACATTTAATCAGCTCCCCTAACTAGCTGTCTGACTTTGGGCAATGTACCTACCTTTTCCCTTGCTGTTTCCTTGTGAATGTAATGGGAACAGTAGGTGCCTGGTACACATGTGACAAGACATACATGTATCAGCAAAAGTGAGGTGGATCATGCCTGTAATCTCAACATTTGAGAGGCAGAAGCAGGAGGATTGCTGTGAGTTCAAGGCCATCTAGGACTCCATTATAAGTTCAAGGCCAACTTGGGCTACTGAGACTATCTCAGAAGAGAGAGAGAGAAGCTAAAATAAAAATAAATACACGTAGACAAGGTGAAACCTAAAATGCCAGCCGTTGGTTGATAGCAAAAGGGGAACCACAAGTTCAAAGTGACTTTGAGGCTGGCCTGGGATAGAGGAGACCCTGAATAAATGAATGACTGATATAGAACCTATGAAGTTGTACACAGTGGTCATTCAATATTAGCTACAATGATCATTTCCCAAAGACGAACCTAAATAAGAGAGGTGAATTCTCAGAGAAGGTATAGGAAGTCGCTGTAGCTGCCAGCCCCCAGGAACTCTGTTGATGCTGTTCTTTCCCAATTCTGACATCTTCCAATCCAATGCATACCTCTTGTTACTCATTCATTTATCCAACCAGTATTTACTATGCAACAGCCTTTCCGGGGCCCTGCTAAGAACCAGGTTACAGGAGTGGACTGCATTCCCACCCTCTTGGAACTTAAGTTCCAAAGAAAGTCGAGAGGGATGGGCAGCAGGCAGCCAAGAGAATGCTGATAAAGTCAGGTGGTACCATGCACAAAACTCAAGTCCAAGTGGATTAAAGACCTCAACATCAGTCTGAACACATTGAACCTGATAGAAGAGAAAGTGGGAAGTACTCTACAACACGTGGGCACAGGAGACCACTTCCTACGTATAACCCCAGCAGCACAAACATTAAGGGCCTCATTGAATAGATGGGACCTCCTGAGACTGAGAAGCTTCTGTAAAGCAAAGGATTGTCGCTAAGTCCTTTGTCACTAAGTCTGTCACTAAGACAGAAAGGCAACCCACTGACTGGGAGAAGATCTTCACCAACCCCGCAACTGACCTCCAAAATATATAAAGAACTCAAGAAACTAGACTGTAAAAGGCTAATCAACCCAATTATAAAATGGGGCACTGAGCTGAACAGAGAACTCTCAACAGAAGAAGTTCAAATGGCCAAAAGACACTTAAGGTCATGCTCAACTTCCTTAGCGATCAGGGAAATGCAAATCAAGACAACTTTAAGATACCATCTTACACCTGTCAGAATGGCTAAAATAAAAAACACCAATGATAGCCTTTGCTGGAGAGGTTGTGGAGAAAGGGGTACACTTGTCCATTGCTGGTGGGAATGCAAACTTGTGCAACCACTTTGGAAAGCAGTGTGGCGGTTTCTCAGGAAATTCGGGATCAACCTACCCCTGGACCCAGCAATACCACTCTTGGGAATATACCCAAGAGAGGCCCTATCATACAACAAAAGTATATGCTCAACTATGTTCATAGCAGTGTTGTTTGTAATAGCCAGAACCTGGAAACAACCTAGATGTCCTTCAATGGAAGAATGGATGAAGAAGGTATGGAATACATACATATTAGAGTACTACTCAACAGTAAAAAACAAGGACTTCTTGAATTTTGCATGCAAATGGATGGAAATAGAAAACACTATCCTGAGTGAGGTAAGCCAGACCCAAAAAAAGGAACATGGGATGTACTCACTCATATTTGGTTTCTAGCCATAAATAAAGGACATTGAGCCTATAATTCGTGATCCTAGAGAAGCTAAATAAGAAGGAGAACCCAAAGAAAAATATATAGGCATCCTCCTGAATATTAACCTTCATCAGGCGATGAATGGAAACAGAGACAGAGACCCACATTGGAGCACTGGACTGAAAACTCAAAGTCCAAATCAGGAGCAGAAGGAGAGGGAGCACGAGCAAGGAACTCAGGACCGCGAGGGGTGCACCCACACACTGAGACAATGGGGATGTTCTATTGGGAACTCACCAAGGCCAGCTGGCCTGGGTCTGAAAAAGCCTGGGATAAAACCTGACTCACTGAACATAGTGGACAATGAGGACTACTGAGAACTCAAGAACAATGGCGGGGCTGGAGAGATGGCTCAGTGGTTAAGAGCATTGCCTGCTCTTCCAAAGGTCCTGAGTTCAATTCCCGGCAACCACATGGTGGCTCATAACCATCTGGAATGAGGTCTGGTGCCCTCTTCTGGCCTGCAGACATACACACAGACAGAATATTGTATACATAACAAATAAATAAATATTAAAAAAAAAGAACAATGGCAATGGGTTTTTGATCCTACTGCACGTACTGGCTTTGTGGGAGCCTAGGCAGTTTGGATGCTCACCTTACTAGACCTGGATGGAGGTGGGTGGTCCTTGGACCTTCCACAGGGCAGGGAACCCTGATTGCTCTTTGGGCTGACGAGGGAGGGGGACTTGATTGGGAGAGGGGGAGGGAAATGAGAGGCGGCAGCGGGGAAGAGACAGAAATCTTTAATAAATAAATAAATTTTAAAAAAAGTCAGGCGGTAAAAGCTATGTAAGGAAAGTTCAGTGGTGCTTGGTTATATGTCTGTATTTCTCTAAATCTTATAGAAAAGAGAATTTTTTAAATTATTTAAGATGATTGAGGAAAACACACACACATACATACACACACAAACTCACACACTGATTGGATACTTCGCTCTTCACAAGTTCTTGAGAATGGAATCCTACCCCTATGAAGGTAAAACTGTCTAGATTTTTTCATTAAAAACTGATGATGTGACGAAGATGACATCAGTTTCTCACGTTTCCCCCTCCCACCTCTATCATCACTCGTTTAATAACAATAATAATAATAATAATACATGTCTGGGAGGAGTCACTCCCAGCAGTGGGCTGGGGCCTCTGGGAGCTGCACAGTGCAACCCTCTGGGGAGGGAGAAGAGACTGATGAGGATGGAAACCTGTGAGCTGTCAGTATATGCACTCCTAACATCATGCCTCTGCCAGCTTGAGGCTCTCTCTTCCCTTAGCAGAGTGTAAAGCTGGCTTCCAGGAGTCAAGTCCTGGGACTCTGAGGAGAATGTGAGCTGGTTGCATTTGTAAAAAGAGAAACCTGGGGCCTGTGCGTGGAAGGAGGGTCTCTGAATGCAGACACAGTGGAGGTTCTAGTTTTTCTTCTTCTACCTGGCAGTGGAGGGGACCCAGAAATCTGCCTCCTACAAGGCAGCCAATGGAAGCAGCCACTGTGACTTTCCAAACAGACCTAATAAATCTCACTGTCCTGTGCACTTGGAGATGTTTAGGTTTAGAGGAAAATGTTAAGTGTGTTACATACACTCAACAACGACAGAGAGAGACCCATATGAAGGCAAAGGTTTGTGTTGCTATATTTTAAATATAAATGTTACCTAGGAATCCTAACATCTCATAGTTAGCCCTTGGGCATCACTGAGCTGGTTTATAAAATAATTTCAAATCTAGGGAAGAATCCAATCTGTTTTGACTGTGGGCGCCAGTAATCGAGCCTCTGGGTGTATGAAAACATCATGACTGAGGCCCAGTGTCGTGACGCACGTCTTTAATTCCAACATTCTAGAGGCAAAGACAAGCAGATCGCTGTAGGCCAACCTGGTCCATACAGACAATTTCAAAACAACCGGGGCTATATAGGGAGACTTTATCCCCCCCCCCAAAAAAAAAGTGTCACTGGGCTGAGAATGTGTGGCTCAGTTTGGTCAAGTGATTGTCTAGTGTACGTGAAGCCCTGGGTTCGATTCCCAACACCAAATAAAACTGGGCAAGGAGATGCTTATCTATAATCCTAGCACTTGGGAGGTGGAGGCGGGAATATCAGAAAGTCATAGTAAATTGGAAGCCACTTGGGCAACAAAAGACCCCGTCACAAAAAAATAAAATAAAAAATAAAAAACCATAGCATCTGGCTCTTGCAGCGACCACATGTGCACAGTTGTGGCTTTGGACAATGAAGCTGCACACAGGGCTGGGGAACAGGACTCTCTAGCATTTAACGGTTATTTCAAGCAAACCAGAATAATCTACTTTGCTCTGCTCTGCTGCCGTTTCCCTCACTAGGAAAGTGGATTAAGGATGTTCATTACCACACAGGCAAAGAGCCAGGC